ATCATTTCCTATATGAACTTCAAACCACCACAAATTAGGAGCTGGCAGCTTTTTGAATCGGTTGAAGTGATGGTAGATCTTCCTTGCAGCAATACAGTGGCATGTTGTTGACTCAAGGTACTTCATGTTGGCAAATTCCTCATTCGAAGTATTCACATTCAATGAATGTTTTCATTAGAATCGATGCCCAACTAAATTTCGATATATTATTATTTCTTTGAAAATATCATTCGACAGAACTTGGAATTATCGACTTGGATTGATTCAATTGATGAAGATCTTGATGTACTTAAGAACTGAGATTCAATCCTGAGGACGACAAGTTTAAGGTACATAAATTTGCTTGCAGCTTTCGATTCAAGAATGCAACTAGGCACTCGTTTTTTCAGGAGCATCTGAAACCCCAAGCTCTATCCTTTGAAACAACAGTAAAGACCGTCTCATACCTGAGGCAAAAAGCTACTTTTACTTTAAATAAAAAAGAAAGCAAGTAAAGGGCCAAGTTAGCGAAGGAAAACAACAAAAGCAGCAAGCAGCCAAGCAAGTCAATGACGGTATTTGTTTTATGTTTTTAGAGGGTGACACAAGCGTAATAGTCTAGACTAATAGACTCTGAATCAGTAAAGCTGTATCACTCACGATAATAAGATGATACTAGAAAGAAGACAGGTTTGAATCATCTGATCTACAAATTACATGTACAACATCACATCTACAAGGAACAGAATATATGCTACAACATAAAAATGTGCCGCGTATCACTCCATAAGATATCAAAATTACTCACTGTCACCGCCGATTCTTGAAAACTCCTAAATGGCAGAAATGATAACTGACAGCAGTCAAGACGAATTTTACAAAACTCTATTTGACGCTATTGAGAATGGACAAGAAGATTTGGTCGAAAAACTAATCGAGTGTGGTGCTGATGTCAATGCTGCCAATAAATATGGCAGAACTGCTTTGTTTTATGCTGTAGGGAAAGAAAATTACGAAATAGCGGAAAAACTAATCGAGTTTGGTGCTGATGTTAATGCTACCGATGAAGATGGCTCGACTGCTTTGTTTCATGCTGTAAATGAAGAAGTGGTCCAAAAACTAATCGAGTGTGGTGCTGATGTCAATGCAGTCGATGAAGATGGCGAAACTGCTTTGTTTTATGCTGTAAGGAAAGGAAATGAGAAAATAGCGAAAAAACTAATCCAGTGTGGTGCTGATGTTGATGCTACCGATGAAGATGGCGAAACTTCTTTGTTTCATGCTGTAAATGAAGAAATGGTCCAAAAACTAATCGAATGTGGTGCTGATGTCAATGCAGTCGATGAATATGGCGAAACTGCTTTGTTTTATGCTGTAAGGAAAGGAAATGAGAAAATAGTGGATAAACTAATCCAGTGTGGTGCTGATGTCAATGCAGTCGATGAAGATGGAGAAACTGCTTTGTTTCATGCTGTAAGGAAAGAAAATGTAAAAATAGTGGAAATACTAATTCAGTGTGGTACTGAAGTTAATGCTACTGATGAAGATGGCTCGACTCCTTTGTTTTTTGCTGTAAATGAAGAAGTGGTCCAAAAACTAACCGAGTGTAGTGCTGATGTCAATGCTGCCAATAAAGATGGCAGAACTGCTTTAATTTTTGCTGTAAATGAAGAAGTGGCCCAAAAACTAATCGAGTGTGGTGCTGATGTCAATGCTACCGATAAATATGGCGCAGCGACTTTGTTTTATGCTGTACAGAAAGAAAATGAGAAAATGGTAGGAAAACTAATCGAGTGTGCTGCTGATGTTAATGCAGTCGATGAATATAGCCAAACGGCTTTGTTTTATGCTGTAGAGAAAGAAAATGAAAAAATAGTGGAAAAACTAATCCAGTGTGGTGCTGATGTTAATGCAGCCAATAAATACGGGGAAACGGTTTTGTTTTATGCTGTAGAGAAAGAAAATGAAAAAATAGTGGAAAAACTAATCAAGTGTGGTGCTGATGTCAATGCAACCAACAAAGATGGCAAAACTGCTTTGTATCATGCTGTACAGAAAGAAAGTGAAATAATGGTCGAAAAACTAATCGAGTGTGGTGCTGATGTCAATGCAGCCAATAAATACGGGGAAACGGTTTTGTTTCATGCTGTACAGAACGAAAATGAAAGAATGGTGGAAAAACTAATAAATTGTGTAGTTGATGTTAATGCTACCCATAAACATGGCAGAACTCCTTTGTTTAATGCTGTAGGAGAAAAAAAAGAAAAAATAGTGAAAAAACTAGTCCAGTGTGGTGCTGATATCAATGCAACCAATATACTAGGCTTCACTGCTTTGTCTTTTGCAGTACTGAAAGAAAATAAAGAGGTGGTGGAAAAACTAATCGAGTGTGGTGCTGATGTCAATGATACAAATGAACATGGCAAAACTCCTTTGTTTTATGCTGTACAGAGAGGAAATGAAGAAGTGGTGGAAAAACTAATCAAGTGTGGTGCTGATATCAATGCAAGCAATACACATGGCCATACCGTATTGGTTTATGCTGTTAACGAAGAAAATGAAAAAATGGTGGAAAAACTAATCAAGTGTGGTGCTGATGTCAATGCTGCCAATGAATGGGGCCAAACCGTTTTCTCTTATGCTGTAGAGAAAGGAAGTAAAAAAATGGCCGAAAAATTAATCGAGTGTGTTGCTGATGTCAATGCAAGCGACGAAGATGGTGAAACTGCTTTGTTTAATGCTGTACAGAACGAAAGTACAAAAACGGTGAAAAAATTAATCGAGTGTGCTGCTGATGTCAATGCAAGCGACGAAGATGGTGAAACTGCTTTGTTTCAGGCTGTAATGAGAGGAAATAAAGAAGTTGTGGGAAATCTAATTAAGTGTCGTGCTGATGTCAATGCTACAGATAAAAGTGGCAGAAATGCATTGTTTTATGCTGTTCAACAAAGTAACGATGAAAGTGTGGTTCGTACATTGATTGATGCTGGTACTGATGTCAACATTACTGATAATGAGGGGAAAACTGCTTTGTTTTTTTTAAACAGTCATGATGAAGCCTGTCTCATGGCACGATTGCTGATAGAGGATGGAGGTGCTCAAGTGGATGTGAGAGATCGTTATGGCAGAACGCCACTGTTCTACGCTATGACACAATCACTTTCCCTTGCGAGGTATTTACTTGACAAAGGAGCCACTTTACATCTCAATGAGAATTGCAGTGTTTTGACATTTTTTATTGACAACTGTATCTTCGATTTATCACAAAAAACTTCAAACCTGCAAGATGGACTCAATCTCCTGTCTGACTGCAAAGAGGTGGAAAGAAACACTATTTTGGAAGCTATAGCGAGTGTTGCATTCTGTAAAACGCTGTACCTCAAGCCCGGTTCTCGTGATATCGACGTGGGTTCTTTTTCTTATCTAATGGAGAATGCTTCAAATTCTAAGCTTTTTCAAGTCAATTTTTCTGCGGGGAAATTGAAAACCATATTTGAGATCTTCACCATGATCCATAAAGCAAGCCACGATAAACAACTGATTAAGTCTGGAGCAGCAGTGATTCGACTTCTTAAAGAATTGGGTGCCAACCCAAACACCACAGATTCAGATGGGAACACTGCTCTTCACCATGCAACTCAACTAGCATTTCATGGTGTAACACAAAAGTCCGTCATGGAAATATGTGAACAGCTAGAAAAGTTTAATGTATCGTTCCACATAACGAATCACCAAAACCAAACGCCACTTTTATATTGTCTAGCCAGGACAATCGAGAAGGTATCCATAGAGGAAGAACCTTGGTCAGCTGTCAAGACACAAGCAGCTGTCTGTCGATTCCTGGTAGAACATGGATCGAGTGTTGAAGCAAAAACTGGCAGTGGAGAGACTGTGTTACACTTGACCATAAGACTTCTTCAACATGGCTTTTTGAAACGTAATAGTCAATCGAGAAAAGACGTTTCTGATGTTGGCCTAGAGCTACTGGAAGTATTTGTTAATGCATTCAAAAGACAAGAAGTTTCTATGAATACCCAAGATGAACATAGAAACACGCCACTTCATCTTTGGGCAAAGCTCCAATTAGCACCAGAACAGGATTACAAAAGCAATATTACTGAAGGGCATACCTCCTTTCAAGGACTTTTAAAAATGATTTTGGATCATTTCAAAGAATACAAAGAAATGTTGCATGTCAAAAATGGAGATGGCGAAACACCTCTACATCTCTGCAGAACGTGGACTGCTGTTGAACTTTTACTCGATGCGGGAGCGAACCCAAACGATGTGGATTCATCTGGACGTTCAACTCTTCTTGGTGCAGCTGCAAACATGAAGCCTCTTCTAAATCCTGGATATTTTTACCCAGATGTCTTAGAACAACCAAAAGATTTTTGGAAAACGGTCTTTCTTGATAAAGGTCTTGATCCGTGGACTGTTGACAAACATGGTGAATCTGTGATGAGTATTTTGATTGCAGCAGAATCCTTCGACCTTGCAAAAGGCATGATTGAATTTGTGTGTGAAGACAACAATCACCTTGATTCTAGTTATGATATAATCTTTTCTCTTCTTTGTGTCGTATGCAAAGACAAATCAACAAGTGCTCAAGAGAAAATTAATCTTGTTCAAATCATCTTAGAATCAAGAAAGTGTTTGGTGTTAGGAAGGAATGGAGAAGATTCACCACTCCATTTCTGCTGCAGAAATATCGTCAGGAATGCACATGATGTCGATGATGTCCACTGGGCGATTGCTGAAAATCTTCTCCTATACGAAGCTGACTATAGCATTCCCGATTCCAGTGGTCAGTCCTGTTTGGACATAGCAGAAGGATGCCCTCAACTTAAACAACTATTCCTGAAGCCGATAGATATTGATAAAATTCCCTTACTGATTAAATCATGGAAATCGATTTCAAAGATGCAAAAAGACAAACTGGCCAAAGTAGCAAGAGGAAGGCAAAGCACGTATATAAAACCGTACTGGTACCACAAAGACTATTTGGCAAGCGGGGCATTTGGTGCTGTGTTTGCAGGCATACACGAGAAAGATGGAAGAGAGGTGGCCATCAAACGTATTGAGAAGATACGTATGCAGCGACCAGAAGAMAAACGAGAAATAACAAATCTCACTGCTCTTGCAGACTGCGAACAAGTTGTTCGTTATTTGTTCTTCTTTGAAGACGAAAACTTTTCTTACATTATCTTGGAACTGATGGAGGGAAATCTTGACAAGTTCCTTAATACTGCAACGAAAATGGAAATTAAAGTCTCGCTCTGCCAAGATATAGTTCAAGGACTGAAATTCCTACACTATCAAAGCATCGTTCATCGAGATCTCAAGCCAAGCAACATTCTTTATAAAACTCATCCCAAACTATGCTTGAAAATTGCCGACTTTGGTCTCAGCCGTCGTATGGATAACACTGGTTCTAGAACCTCGGTGTATGGGTCTAATGTTGGTACAAGATGTTGGATTGCTCCAGAAGTGCTAGCTTCTACAAAAAGTCATTCTAAGTCATCTGATGTGTTTGCCTGTGGTCTCGTTCTTCATTACATTTTGTCAATGAAAAAACATCCGTTTGCCCCCCGAATAGGTGCACTGCAACACGAGATTGAAGTCAATATATTGAATGGCAACATGGAAGGATGGGATGACTCTCTGTGCCCTGAAGTAGCTGATCTCCTTAAAGCAATGCTTGATGGAGATAAAAGCAAACGGCCATCTGCAGATAAAGCATTGGATCATCTTTTTTTCTGGGCAAAGAAGAAAAAGCTTGATCTGCTCGTAGCTGTTGGCAATCAACCAGAATTTGAATGCCCACGTGCWAAGAGGMCTCTTCCTTTRACTKYAGTAGAGAMTGACTTGGAGACAARCTTTGGYACCATAGTCAAGTATGGAGATTGGAATGACCCAGGTTATGTACACATGTCTACCATTTACACCGAAATGACGAAAAAGAGAAAAGGATACGATATTCACTCTGTCGTAGAGTTGGTGCGGTTCATACGAAATGCTTACGCTCACGTGTCTGAGAGTACACGTCCAACACCAATCAGAAAGAAGCTACTAGAAGACTTTGTGTTCTTGGAATATTTTCCAAATCTTGTGATGGAAGTCTACAAGGCTGTAACCACTCATGGATGGGATCAGACGAGAACAGAGATCAAGTTTGTATTACAGTAAGCGTTCACAAGACAAGGTCAGCTGAGACACGGGAACATTACACAAACGATCAATGACTCAGTAGATCACGGTCATCCTATACAAGAGACCAGTATACAGATAGAATAGCGTTAATAATGTTAAGACAAGAGTACCATTAGGCAATCAACACTGACTGGAATCAAAGTCTGTACAAGACTAGATCAAGGTCAGCTGATACAAGAGACCAGTATGCAGACAGAATAGCGTTATTAATGTTAAGACAAGAGTACCATTAGGCAATCAACACTGACTAAAATCAAAGCATGTACAAGACTAGATCAAGGTCAGCTCATACACAAGAGATCAGCGTACAGATAGAATAGCGTTAATAATGTTAAGACAAGAGTACCATTAGACAATCAACACTGACTAGAATCAAAGTCTGTTCAAGACTAGATCAAGGCCAGCTGATACAAGAGACTATACAGACAGAATAGTGTTAATAATGTTAAGACAAGAGTACCATTAGACAAACAACACTGACTAGAATCAAAGTCTGTACAAGACTAGATCAAGGTTAGCCGATACAAGAGACCAGTATACAGACAGAATAGTGTTGATAATGTTAAGACAAGGGTACCATTAGACAATCAACTCTGACTAGAATCAATGCCTGTACAAGACTAGATCAAGGTAAGCCGATACAAGAGACCAATATACAGATAGAATAGTGTAAATAATGTTAAGACAAGGGTACCACTAGACAATCAACACTGACTAGAATCAAGGCCTGTATAAGACTAGATCAAGGTCAGCTGATACAAGAGACCAGTGTACAGTAAGGTTAAGACTTGGGTACCATTAGACAATCAACACTGACTAGAATTAAAGCCTGTACAAGACTCGATCAAGTCAGCTGATACAAGAGACCAGTGTACAAATAGAATAGTGTTAATAATGTTAAGACAAGGGTACCATTACACAATCAACACTGACTAGAATCAAGGCCTCTATAAGACAAGATCAAGGTCAGCTGATACAATAGACCAGTACACAGGTAGAATTATATTCATGTATATGTTGTGGGGTATATATAGAACAATTTAATGATGTCAAAGACGCACTTAGGTTTCTTAGTTTAGTTCTGTTTTTGTAATAAGTGGTTAGCAACAGATGAAGTCATTTTAGGCATAACAGTCATATCAACCGTGGATTTAGTACGGGATCCAATTGGCT